AATTCAATCACTAGTTTCGTTAAGTCATTGCAACCTTCACATTCTGTACCATAACCTTCATTTACAACTAGATTAAGAGGTACTTGGATGACTTTGCTTACTTTCTTCTGGATCTCTGTTGTTGCAGTTGCAATTTTACGTTTGGCATATGAAATTCTACTTCAAACAGGCATTGCATGAAGCTTAATTGGTGTGCAGCCAATGCTTGTTATACTGTCATTTAGTCAAGAAAGATGCAAGTCAACGTCTTCTATATCGGTATCACTAGCTAAATGTCCATAACTCTGTTCAGGTTCCTGGGATGTATCGTACTTTCGACAGCTTGGGCATAGCTTCTCACCAGGTTTGATGTGTCTCCCAGTTGTTAGTGTTAACTCCTTGGCTTTGTCAATACTGACTGCCCTCAGTGACTGCGACTTTGCACTGATGTTTATTGAATGGATCACAACAACTCTGCTGCAAGTTATCAAATTTTTAAAGTAGAACCTGTTTATGGTGGAAGCATATATTGCAGTTCTCTCTTAGGCTTGGTTCTTAACATTAACAATTCAAAGTTAGCATCGGATAATTCTGACAGGTTATGCAAGCCGACACTGCGTGTATGAACTGTCTTGTGGCATTCATCTTGAAGCAACAGTCGAAATGTGCACAATGGCAGTTCAGCCATATTCAGTGAATATTGAATCTATATCAAATATAAAAAAAATGTGATAACATATTTTTATAAAAACATTCCATACTAATTCAACCAAAAAAAATACTAGTTAACATGCTACTTTCTCATAATTAAATAAAACTTTTGGTATATGTATATAAATGTTTTCTATTAAAAAAATGAAATACCTAAAAAAAATAAAATTGAAAAAAATTGTAAAAAATATAAAATTAATAGTTATATATTAATAATATGAAATACCTAAATAAAATATTAAACAAAAAATTCATTTGAAAATATTCGATTTTGCGCAGATTTTTCACCAAGAAGGAGGCAAGACACCAACATGAAACTTTCACCACAGCTAATACTTACTGAGGTTATTAAGTGTGCAAAATATGAAATGTGTGAATTACTGTCAACATGGTCATCTGGGGGTAGCAATGCGCACAAAAATTGATGACCATGATGCATAACGGTGCCTACAATGGGGACACTATTATTGATTAACATAAATTTTTAATGAAAATAATAAGCACATATATGGTAATTATTAATGGTATAACAAACATCATTCCATGTTTAATAGGTTCTTGGCTATATCGGGTCAAATATTAGTGAAAACTGTCTAAAGTGCAATGTTAGGACATTTTTAGGGAATATTGTATGCAAGCTACATTTGATATAAAAACACCATTAAACTCAGCATGAAAAAATGAGTAAATGCTGTAAATTTCAACCTGATACCTGTCTTAGTTTCTGAAATATTCACGTTCAAATATTGCGAAAATGTAAAAGTCACGTGAACTCGCGACAACCCTTAAAGTATTAAAAAATTATATCTCAGAAAGTTTTTGACGAAATGGCCTAAAATTTCCAGCAATTGCTTAACTTTGTATGTACTACAAGCCCTGAAAATTTCTGAAAGATCTAAGATGATGTGGTGAACATCATTGGTTGAGTTGACATGGAATGACCCTCCTGTTTTCTTATACTTTCTAAAGAGAAACAGTCTGTCAATCTGGATCAGGAGAAAGGGAAAAACTTCTAAAAAAGAAGATTGATGCATTGTCCAAGCTGCCTTTAAAAATCGCCGTATTTCTGGAAAAACCATAATTCGTCGTTTACATGAGTGTAAAAATTTTGATTCTCTTTGGGCTATCAGAAAACCTCTTTCATTAAAGATTATCATTGCACGTAGGCTTCAATGCTGCAGTGAGCATAAAGACTGGACTATTACCCAATGGAGACAAGTTGTTTGATCAGATGAGTCTCCTTTTAGCTTTAGATGCAACCGAAGATTTTGTGTTTGGAAGCGTAGTAATGAAAAGTATCACCATGAATATATAAAAACCACAGTTAAGCATCAAACAAAGATTAACCCTTTGAGCGCTCGTTAAAATTTGAACGCCGTTCAAAAAAATATCGGCAAAAAAAATCGCCAATAAACGTAACAAAAAAACAACTATTTTTGAACTATTTTATTTTTTTGTAGGTTATATAAGTTTAAAAGAAGTTTAATGATTTTAATGCACAACTGTTGTGTGATAATTGGAAAAACAGGCTGGACACAGTCCAACACCACATATCTGACACTGCCAACTTGTGCGGACTCGAGATTGGTGCCCAGCTACACATTTTATTTTTTTCCTGCACCAACCTTAACAAGATTGTGACCATATAATGGATTGCTACTTGCAGTGTGTTGGGGAAGTGGATATGGGACAATTGTACTTCTAGCCACTTCAATCTCTCTTGATTTTCTTCTTTTAGAAATTACTTTTACTGGAAAATAACCTCCGGCTAAACTTTCCACTATAGCCATCATAAAATCTATTCTTGACATTGGCTTTTGTTCATTTGTATTGAGCTTATACAATAAATAGCTATTTAAAATTGCTCTACCAAATAAAGAAAAAGCAACTTTAGTAGTCCACTTTATTGAACAACGCTCAGACAAGTACACATAGCGCTGTGCATCACCCAAATCTACACCCCCCATGGTTTTATTGTAAAGGGCAACAACATTTGGTTTCATAACTATATTTCCTCTTCTGTTACGCATTTCAGTAAAACCTGCTTTGGCAACAGTAAATAATAATATAGGCTTTTTTTTACCATCTTGGTATGCCACACACAACAAGGGACCTTTTCTATATTGGCATACCTCCTTATTTTTTAATTTCGATTTAATGCAGGTTTCTGGTAGGCCTTTCCTGTTGACTCTTACTGTGCCTGTTGCAGTGGTCTGATGAGCATAAAGATCTAATAACAGTTGAGGAGAAGTATAATAATTGTCAATACCTAAGTGATAACCTTGGTGGAGAAAATTAGTTTGGCGCAAAAGACGAAAAACTAAACTATAAGTCATACCATAGGCAATGGCGGCTACATCTGGGTCTTTTCCTCCCTTGTAAATTTCAAATTGACACAAATAACCGTTAGTGTTGTCTGAAACACACCATAACCTAATCCCAAACCTAGAATGACGTTTGTTTGCCATATATTGACGCAGATGTGGTGTCTTTCCTTTGTAGCCAACCATACTCTCATCTATAGAAATGTCTTTTTGAGGATAATAATAATATAGAAATTTGTTATTAAAATGTTCAACTAAAAACTGAATTTTATAAATTTTATTGAGTGGTTGTTGATTTGGTATATGGATGTCTGTAAAATGAAGAAATTTAAGCAAAAGTTGAAACCGGTCACGATTGAAGTGAGTAACAAACCAGGGAGTAGATGCACAAGGATGACTTATATCCCAGTAAAGACCTATGTTGATTACGACTCCAAGGAAAGCTCTTATCTCTAAAAGATTGGTCTTTCCTTGTTTAATCCATCCATGACCTCTTGATGTTGGATGGGACCTCAAATGTTGTTGATTGTTTTGAATCTACGTGTCAACATAATTATTAGTAAAATTTACTATATTTTGCAAAAATTCAGTTTTAAAAAACAAGTCCATATATTCAATAGGCTTAGACTCAGGTGAAATTGAGTGCTTGGGTCCTGATTCACCAGTAAAGTGAACAACATTAGGACCATTTTCATCTTCTTGAATAAATAACCAATCGTCTAAAACATTACCACCAACATCACCTACATCAACATCGCCATCAGAACTGAAGTCTACATCAAAATTAAAATAAAAAATTCAAATTATCATACTAGGTGATATATTTGTATTAAATAATATTGTTTACAATTTTTTAATTAAAGTTATCGTGCCTTCATCAAACAAACTGTCATCGCTGGAACTTAAAAATTCTTCGCTGGTACAACTCTCGTCATCCATACAACTTTCTTTACTGTCGCTCATTTTCAAAACCAAATATATAACAACAATATACCAAAAGATAGAGAAAAATGTGCTCTATTCAATGCTACCATAATGAACGATCAGCGGTATTTTGCTGTAAAAAGTCATAGTTTCAAAGACCACTTTTAAAGTTACGATCGTGGCTCTTCGCGCTCTGACGGTATAGCCACGATCGTGGCTCGTCGCGCTCAAAGGGTTAACGTATGGGGATGCTTTGTAAACAAAAAAAAAAGTAGAATGTGTAATGATAAAGTTTGTTTTTTCAATTGTGTAAAAGAGGCATGGAATAGCTTAGAACCATTGTTATTAACAAAGCTTGTTGACAGTATGCCTAAAAAAATCAAAGCAGTCTTAGCTGCAAAAGGTGTTATGACCAAGTACTAGTTTTTGAGATTTTGTTTCAAATAAAATAACTCTTTCAAGATAATAATTGAATACAATAATTCTTCTAACAATTATTTTGTACGATGTATATTTGGTAATACTTTTGTATTAATGAAATCATCATTACATTATAATATGTGTCTTTTAATGCTTTAATGTTGATTTTCTTCAAAAAATATTTTGGTGGTTTTTTTATCTATTAAATATATATATATATATATATATATATATATATATATATATATATATATATATATATATATATATACATATACATTTAAAATATATGTGATAAAAGCATAATATTTATATATTGATACTTAAAATAAAATCACTCATTACATTTGCTTGCTGTATATTTTACGTAGAAATTTTGCAAAAAAACCACATAAAATTCCTTGGTCAGTATTTTTTGGCCCCTACTGTATATATATATATATATATATATATATATATACAGTAGGGGCCAAAAAATACTAGATAGGTGGCAAAGTTTAGTAATGTCAGCAAAATCTCTTAGAGAGTAGTCATGCCAGAGAATGAAGAAGAAGAATCATAATCCATACAAATTAATGCATTATTATTTATTATAGTTAAGAAAATACTTAAATTATATAAAACAAAACTTAAATGACAATTTTATATTGAAAACATTTTAGTCATTACTGTAGAACTAGCTTTTAAATATTCAATGACATTTGAAATTTCAATTTCATTGAGTAATTGTTTTTCAACACTCATAATTAAGAGTGCTTCTAAACTATCTTGACTTATATTGGCTCTGAGTCTTGTTTTAAAAAGCTTTAGTTTGCTGAATGTCCTTTCGCAGTTGACTTCGGTGACTGACAAAGTAAGAAAAAACTCATATGAAGCACATAGTTGAGTATAAGGCGAGATATGCATGTTTAAATTGTATACAAGTTTGTATACACATTGTAAACAATTGTTAGTATCATGTTTGCTGTTTTTGTTGTTACCTAAAATCCAACATAAAGTTCAGTCAAAATAATATTTTAAATTATATATAGAACAATATATAAGCACAATTTTACTCACAAGAAAATGCTGCATCATAATTCATATTTTCTTCATCATTATCTGAGTTTTCATCTGAATCAGTATCAAATTGACGGTATATTTGTTTAGTTCTTTCTGTTGTAGACATTTTTAACTTGGGATACATTTTAGAAAAATTATTTAGTTCTAAGCAAAGTTGTATGTGATCTAAATATGCTAAATTAGCCAAGTGTTTTAAAGCTGTGTTTGGCATTTGTTCAATTTGTTTAAAATTTTTAGGTATCAAGTATTGAACATCCGCAATCAATTGATTGTTGTCGGTGAAGCGTTCATTTAAACTATTATTAATGTGATCAACTATTGATTGATAAGTTTCAACTCTGAACTTGTCTAATGGTAACTCTGGAGTTTCGTCTGCACATAGCTCATCATACATTCCTTTTTTTTCTGCTTTGCCTAGTAATAGGTAAAGTACTTGGTACTAATAAATCATCCGGAAGATTCATACTATTAAGTAAGTCATTCATATTGTTGGAAAAATGTACAGAAATTTCTAAAATATTGTCAAAGGTTAAATGTCCAATTTCTTGTTTAACAGAATCTACCACACTCCAAGCTGATAATAAATCCATACCTCTTGTCTGAAGATAACGTGACGTTGGCCCAATAATTTTAAAGATATTCAAAAATATATGAGCTGTGAGAATTATTTTAAAATTACATAAATTATCTAATAAAGAAGATGCTTCTGAACAAACTTTAGGTTCAAAATTTCTAGAAATAGAAATATGATGCAAAGCACTTACAACTGTAGGAAAAAGACATTTATCACCATCAAAAATCCAAAACAGTGCTTTTTCTCGCGACCACCATCGCGTATTGTTTTCTCCTATTTTTTGAAGTTTTTTCAATTTATTAGACCCCAAACTTGAATCAATTTCACTTAACCATATGTGCATACGTTTATAAGAATCACTAAAAAATGTTGATAATCGATTCAAAAATCCAAACAGTTTTTTAGCTTCTACGCCTTTACAAGTATCACATACACATAAGTTAAGCACATGACTATAGCACCATATATAAACACTTTTTTGATTTTCTTGACTTTTAATTTTAGATTGTAGTCCTGAATACTCCCCTTTCATATTAGCTGCTCCATCAAATGATTCACCAATAATATGATTAAAATAAATGGAATGTTCAGAAAAAAGTTTTTTTAACATATCATAGTAGCCATTTCCTGATGAATCGACAACTTTTAATAAAGCAAATAACCTTTTTTTTACTTCTCCTTCATAAATGTACCGGATGCATACTGCTGCCTGATCTACAACACCAACATCTTGTGTACTATCAATCTGTAAACTAAAATTTTTTTCACCTAATTCTAATTTAATTCTATCTCTTATCGATTTCACGATAGATAAAATAACTTTATTCACAGTAGTTTTAGACAATAAAGTTACAAGTGAACCCCTGCTACAAGAAATTAATGATTTTTTTTCCAAATTGTCTTTTCTGCGTTTGCTGTTTTTTATAGCCGCATTCAAATGTTTGTTTTATGTAGATTCCCGTTTGGCTGTAAATTTAACCAATTCCAAAAAATTGCCTTTAAATCGTTTAAATCGTTTAAATCGTTTAAATCGTTAAATGTTTAAATCGTTCCACTTATACAGACTTTCAGAGTTTCTAGGACCTCTAAATGGTAAATTTCGACGACCAAGAAATTTAACTATTTCAAAAACTGCACTTATGACATGGATATTATCTTGTATTTGACTTTTTTTTAATGCCATTAAATTGTTAATAATACCAAATTCAACAGACTTATCATTTGACGATTGAATATAGGCTTCTACTGAATGCCTGTGTGTTAACGATTCTTCATGTATTTTAACAACTTCATGGATATGTTTAAAATTATTACAGCCATTAGAAAATGTAGTAGGAGATAAACTGAATGCAATACAAAACGGACAGTACAAAGCTTTGAGTTCATTATCAATACAGAGAACTGATAACCACTTTCGTGAAATTTTTTTGCCATCTGATGTTTTTCAAAAATAGAGCTTTTGTAAATCGAGTTGGATATTGCTGAAGAATGATGGCTGGATAGGATGTTTTTTGATGAAGTTTAATTTTTGGAGGATATCAGGATTTTTGTTTAGTTTGAATAATTCATCATTAGATGGCAAATGATACTCTAGAGATTCAGCTTCCTAAAATATAAGTTCAAATTAAATTAATAATAAAAACCTAAAAACCTAAATTAATAATAAAAACCTACTTTTAGCAATAAAATGCGTTTAATTTGTTTGTAAGACCAATATAATTAGCAGTTAATAGTTATTTTATATTAAAAACCTTACCAATACATTCTTTGTGGCTGGGCATATCTGATTTATAGAAATGGATGAATTTAAATCAATATCAATATCTCTTGTTAAATCACCTTCATGTAGATGATTCTTATGAACTATTGCAGTAGAATTACTATCACACTAAAATTTTTAACAAATATACTTTTTTACATAATTTGTATAATCGATAACATTCTTATAATATTGTATATTAATGGTGTACAAAATAATAATGTAGATAGACACCTTTTTTAATTCTCTGTGGCTGTGTCTACCTGATTTATAATAATGGATGAATGGCCGCTCCTCCTTTTTGTTTTTTAGAATTCATATTTATAAATTAAAATGCACAGTATCAATATGAAATGATTCAGGCCGGCGGCTTTAGAAAGCTCAGTAATACAGAAATACATTTGAAGTCATTGTGCTGCTAAAACAAACTAATGTTGTTTGATTTTGAGTTTTTTGCGTTAGCCAGGTTTCTCAAATTTTTTAAACTCGATTTTTGGAACATCGGCCCAGTAGGACTATTCCCACTGTCCCACCTGGCCAGTCCGCCTCTGATATATATATATATATATATATATATATATATATATATATATATATGTATATATATATATATATATATATATATATATATATATATATATATATATATAGTCAACTCTCCTATTACGGGGTATTTCTACAACGCGAATCTCCATACAGCGCGGAGTGAAAGTTGGAACCGCTCACCTATTACGCGATATGATCTCCATATTACGCGATTTTCGTAAGAACTTTCTAAAACGTTATTTATGCGAAAAAAAACAACAACTGACAACAAATCAAATGACTTGAAAAAAATCTATGACAATACTTATTTGACGTTTTGCCTGTATGCGCATTTAGAGGGTATTTCCCTTTTTCTAAATTTGAATTACGTATAAAACAATTAAAAAACTATTCCTTTTAATTTGGTTAATGCTTAAATGTGTTAAGTGACAGAATTTATAATAAATTGTTTTGTCTTAGAATTTATAATAAATTGTTTTGTCTTATTAAAATTAAGTTACTGGAGATTATATAAATACACTGGTAAAATATTTTATTTTCTACAGCATTCAGGTAAAAAAAAATTTTTTATAGGTTAGTAAAATGACTGAAATAATCAAAGGGGGGAAAATATATGAAAAGAAAATCTATAACTCTTATGGAGATTTTAGATCGATTAAAGAATGGAGAGAAAGTGTTTTCTGTTGCGAAATCGTTAAATTTGAATGAATCTACAATTCGGACTTAAAAGAAAAATGAAGAAAAAATAAGAAAAACTGTCGCAAATAGTTGCCCATCAGGTGCGAAGCGTGCAACTCGTATACGTAATGCTATTATGATAAAAATGGAACGAGTATTAATGATATGGTTAGAAGACTGTGTCTCCAAAAAGATACCTGTGTGTGGAAATCTTATTAAGCGTAAAGCACTTAAAATTTATGAGCATTTTAAAGGAATAGACAACTTTTCTCTCCAGCAACACAATCACTCATTTACTGCAAGTGCAGGATGGCTTGACAAGCTAAAAAAAAGGTATTTCTTGCACAATATTAAATTTCAAGGAGAGCGGGCTTCAGCCGATGTCAAAGCAGCCGAAAAATTTAAAACGGACCTCCCAGAAATTATCGATAAAGAGGGATATGTAGCAGATCAGATTTTTAATGCGGACGAGACAGGATTGTATTGGAAGAAACTTCCTTCTCAAACCTACATTTCAATAAATGAAAAGAAAGCATCTGTGTTTAAATCTTCTAAACAACGTATAACCATACACATATGTAGCAATTTAACAGGAAGTTTATTGATAAAACCAATGATCATAAATAATTTTTTAAATCCTCGAGCTTTCAAAAATGTTAATAAGTCTGAGTTACCTGTATTTTGGCGAGCGAATAAAAAAGCGTGGATGACTCGAGAATTGTTTAGGGATTGGTTTTATAACTGTTTTGTCCCTCAAGTAGAAAGCTTTATGGTTGAAAAAAATCTTAGTTTCAGAGTTTTGTTAATCCTTGATAACGCCAGTAGTCATAGTGCAGAGATAAATCACCCAAATGTGAAAGTTCTTTATTTTCCTCCCAACTGCACTTCATTAATGCAACCCTTGGACCAAGGAAACATCCAAACTTTCAAAATGTATTACATACGAATTTTTTTTAAAAGTTATTTTCAGCAGATTAGAAGATCAAGAATGGAAAACTCTACTTGAAGTTTGGAAAGAATTTTCTATTTTAGACTGCACTCGAATTGTTTAATTAGCTTGTACAGAAATTAAACAATCAACACTTAATGCATGTTGATGGCCTTTGATACCTCAAATAGTTAAAAAAGAAGATAATATCTCAGAGACAGTAAAAGAAATAACACGGATTGTTTCTAGTTTTGGCAAGGAAGGATTTGCAGATATACAAGTGCAAGATATAGAACAACTACTTCAAGAACGAAGTTTAAATGAAGAAGAATTAGCGTAGTTAATTGATGAGTCTACATCTGAAACATTTGTGGAAGAAGACACTAATAACAAATCTGCTTTAACTTTCACTTATGATTTAAAAAAAGGGCTCGATTTGGCTAAAGAATTAGAATTCCAGTTGACCCAAAATGATCCTTCAACAATACGCAGTGAAAAATTTAAAAGAGAATTTCAAAATTGCTTAGCTCCATAAAAAAAGGTTTTACAAGAACTACAAAATAAAACTACTTTTGAAAACCAAAGAGAAAATTTTCAAAGTGAAAAGGATTATCAACTAATTAGAGGAAAGAAAAGAAGACGGATTGGACATCTAATATTTGACAGCGATGACGAATAAGAACAGAATTTACAATGCATCATTTTAGTTTTTTGTTGGAAACAATTTTTTTTTAAGTTTAGTTTTTAATTTCTAATTTAAATAACTTACCATATACAATAAAATTAGACTAAAGTAAATTTATTTGTGCATAATTTATTTATTCCTAAAAAAAACAAAACAAAATTATTTTTTTCTAGGATTCTATACAACGCGGTATAAATCGATTCAATTTATGTTACTTTATGTTTCTTATAACGCAGTTTCTATATAACACGACAGAGATTTCCATATAACGCGATTAAGGTTATATATTAAAAAATATATTTTTTGATAATTTGTGTGTTCCTAATAACGTGGTCTTCAAAAAATGCATCTGCCAAATCGAGTTCTTTTAACACAGTTCCCATACAAAGCGGTACGAATTCATCGCGTTATAGGAGAGTTGACTGGATATATATACACCATTAGCCATAAACTAGAGCTCATTTTTTTTTTTTATAAAACATAATTTTAAAATAAAACTAATTGAAAATAAAAATTATTTTTTATTTTTTAATATTTTAAATAAAATCTATATACATTATGAAAATCCAAAAAGCTAAATATAAACATAACAGTCTTGATACTAAAAAATGGAAAATAATGAAACAGGTTATTTTTTTTCAAAAAAAAAAATTGGCCAAAAGTTAAGGATATATTCCAAATAAAATATAAGAACAACAATTTGCAAGAGCAAAACCAAAAAAAAAAGCATTCTAATATTTTGTAGAACCTCCTTTCTCATGTAAGCATTGATTTACTCTCTTTGGCAATGAGTTTACAAGATTTTGAGTTATTTCTTTAGGCACATTGTCAAGCAGTTTTCTTATTTCAGTTTTTAATTGTTCGACATTTAAAATTTGAATTTTTCAAAGATGATGATCTAACCAATACCATAAATTTTCTATACAATTCAAGTCAGGTCTGTTAGCAGGCCAAGACTTTATTGATATTTGGTTTTCTACAAACCATCGTTTGGATATTTTTGCTGTATGGCATGACGCACCATCTTGTTGATAGATGATATTCCTGTTTTCTTCTTTAAATATATCAATTGAGGGAAGAAGACAGTTATCTAAAATTTCAATATATCTATCAGCATTAAGTCGACCTTCAAATAATCGATAGCATCCAAGTCCTGCATAATTCATGCAAGCCCAAATGCCAATACTGCCACAACCTTGCTTAGTTCGTTTTAATATACAATTTGAATCAAATCTCTTTTGAGGTGATCGCCGGAGTATGACACGGCATTTTCGCATATCTACCTCCACATTCATTTCATCGGAGAATATAACATTTTGCCATCTACAATCAGGCTAATTTTTATGCTGATTGCTCCAGGCAACCCTTGCTTTTTGTTGTTTCTTTGAAAGTCTTGGCTTCTTGCATGCAGATCGCCACATATAATTATTTCTATGAAGAATTCTTCTAACAGTTCTTGAACTCACTTTTATTCCAGATGTATTGTTTAATTTATGGCAGAGAGCGTTTGACGATAACTTTCTGTCATGTTTCATTAAACGAATTAACAAACGTTCATCTCTTTGTGTTGTTACAGCTGGCCGACCAGATCGGCGTCGGTCCTTAATGTCACCTGTTTCACTAAAACGTTTTAAAATACGTGCAACAATCGAATATGCGATATTTAACTCATTTGCTATCTGGCGATGAGATAGTCCTTGGTTTCGAAAAAAAATTGATTCATAACGTGTTTTTTCAGAGATTCTTGATCGTGATTTTGGAGTTTTATGCTGTATTTCTTCACTCATTTTGTAACTTTTTTATTATTTAATTTATTTGTGTTTTTTTTAGTACTATTTCAAACAAAAACAAAAAAAAAATTCGAAATAATAAATGCAGATGAAAATAAAATAAATATTATTAAAGAAAACCATCAATATATTACTTAAAATTTAAATATAAAGCAGTTAGCTTTAACTTTTGACCAACATAAAAAATTAAAATTATTTAGTAGTTGTTATCAAGTTATATATAATTAGGCGTACAAAATAAATTTTAAGGAAACAACATGTCAAATAAACAGTAAACATAATACTTATTAATTAGTACTAATAAATTTTTGAAAAAATATAATAGTTTTGAGAATAATTTAAATCAAACAGGATTGTAAAACAAAAACAAAAGCGAGCTCTAATTTATGGCCAATGGTGTATATATATATATATATATATATATATATATATATATATATATATATATATATACATATATATATATATATATATATATATATATATATACATATATACATATATATATATATATATATACATATCTATATATATCTATATATATCTATATATATATATATATATATATATATATATATATATATATATATATATATATATATATATATATATATATATATATATATATATATATATATATATATATATATATATATATATATATATATATATATATATATATATATATATATATATATATATATATATATATATATATATATATATATATATATATATATATATATATATATATATATAGATAGATAGATAGATAGATATAAGTGCCAATAAAAACAACTTTTGTAAAATATCTTTACTCTTACCCCTTTAATGTATTTAATATAATAAAATAACACTGGAATTTAATATATTTTTGAACAAATTGTTTTAAGAGGTAGCTGAAGACCCTTAAACATTTACGCACCTAAGCCATTATTAAATAATTAACAAATCCCTAATGATATAAAAAATTTAACAAAAAATTTTAGTCATGAAAATCAAAAACTAAAGTATTAAAATATTACTATAGAAGCAGAGGACATAAAACATAAACTAATAACAATGTCAATGGAAAGAGACCCAGGTGTTTGTATTTTGAACAATTTAAAATGAGAAAAACACATTGAGACAATGGTAAAAAAAAATTATAAAAAATGTAAAGAAAACCAAATTAATTCTTACCGTACAAAACATCAAACATAGAATTCATATCTTTTGTGCCATACTTTGACCTATGATATTCTGTATACAAAAAATTGTAGTCTGTTCTTCGTGGAAAAACTGATCGATTAGAAATTAATTTATGAAATTCGATTTCATTTTTACATTTATCTTTCATCTTTTTATAAAACTCACGATATGCCGATCCTGGTGTATAACCATTCTCAAAAAGATTATAAATTGAAGATGAGATATTTGTTTGTATGTCCTTAAATGACAATGATTGGAAAGAATTTATGGGGTGATTATGTGTCCATTCAAGATCTATGATAGTCATTGTTTTATTGTACCTACTGTACCTTATATCAAACGAAATGGGCAATCAGTATTTTTAAATCGTTGGCTAGGATTTTTTTTTATTATTTCAACAGCATTCATTGTTGCTTGATATCTTGTATTATGGTGACATCTATTATAGACACATTAGTCATATTCCCCATTTTTCGGAAGTTTTGGTGTTAATTTACGCAAGGTTCCATTTGGTTCCATCTGGTAGCAATAATTTTGAATAAATCCATCTTCCTGCTCTGTTGACAAGTTGCTTTCAATAAGAGCATTAAACCTTTTTACGGAACCTTTTACATGTAGTATACAAAAAGCATCATCATTTAATGGTATTAGATCTTTGATTCTACTTTTTAACTCCTCTGTATTTTCAACATTAATAAATTGAGCTCGGAAAGACTCAAGGATTGATGTCATTATTATGAATAATTCTAATATATATGATTAGTAAAATATTTATAGCAGTTAAATTGTAGCCATTATAAGAGTAATTTCTTTAACCACAAATAATACCTTGATTATAAAAGAAATAGCAAAAATTATAGCAAGCTACTTATCAATTCATTAAAAATATAACTGCAAAGTGTTTTCACAATATCTATCACTTTGTAACTGATATTGTGATACTATTTTAATAATTTTTTTGTAATATTTAATAATAAGTCATGCTATATTCACAGAGAATTTCAAAAAATTCAGGTATAAATGACTTATTTAAAAAGTTAAAAATCCGTCAACTAAACATTAAAAATCAACATGCATTTTAACATAGTGTAAGCACACATAAAAAATAACTAGACAAGCTGCCATCAAGAAACTTTATGTTATTAAGAATAGTTAATAACATAAAAATAAATAGACAGGCAGCTATAAGCTTTATGTTATTAACAATAGCTAATAACGAATAGTTTAAATGTGAACTTTAATTATAATCATTGCTACAGTAGATTGTAAAGAAAAACCAAATCAAATCAAATATATTCTTAGAAAAGGTTGTAACATTTCAAGGAATTTTAAGAATAGTATAACAGGGTTCATACATGTTTTAAATGAAAGATTTTCCTGACTTTATCTTGAAAAACAACCTTTTCCATCAAATTTTTTTTAAAAAACTACCCTTTTTCCCTTGACTCGTTAACTATACTCATTAACTCACTTTGACTTGGATTGACGTTCACATACAGAAGAAAGTACTCCCATGGACTTTATAAGTCCATGGGAGTACTTTCTTCTGTTTATATTAAGTACTTTTATTATATATGCGTTGACACCAACATTGTCAACGCATATATAATAAAAGCTTTATATTAAGTACTTTTATTATATATGCGTTGACACCAACATATATAATAAAAGTACTTAATATAAAGCTTATTTTTAATTTTTTCTTTTTCTCTATATTGTAATGACTAAATTAAAAAGTAAGAAAATTTATATATCTTTATTATGAAATTCAATTATTTTATAAAGAAAAAGAATAAAGAAATAAAGTAATAACTTTTTTTTAAAAAAAAGAGATTAGTTTCGCTTTACTTTGTTCTTTTTCTCTTCCGAAATTTGAACTGTTTTTTTTTTAATTTTTAATTCCCACACATTTCTTTTTGATACTCTTTTTCTCTTGGTCAAGGTCTAGCTGATAATTTTGCGTGCACCTTTCACAAATTTTATAAATTTGTTTGTTAGTTTTATTGTTGAAAGTATCAGGTTGTTCTTTTGCATATGGTTTACTATTATCTTTATTTATATTATTGATCCTTTTTTAAAATTACCTTTGGTTACAATCTTTTTAACATTAGGTCCTCTCTCTAAACTTGCTTGATCATGACTTGTGACTAAAACTAATGTTATAACAGACTTTAACTCTTTGGCATATGGATAGTGGATTTATGAAAAAAGAAATCATTAAGTCTAGTGCTCTCACAACTAAAAGATTTCACTATTTCGGAATCTTGAGATAACACTATCAACAGATCTGATTGATCTATTTTGGCAAAACTTTCTCTTATAAAGTCTCATTAATAATCTTCAAGGAGTCAAGAGTTTGTTTTATCTTGCTTCATAATTTGACTAGTCGTATACATGATATTAAACTTGGATCAAATACATTTGCATTACTTACAATAATGTAATTGACTTTACTTGAGTGATTTTCTTTCTCTTTCTGATAGCATTTCCCTGAAAACCTTTCAGTTCACATTAGGACCATCCATTGGTAGTTGTACTAGTTTAGATAAATCCAAACCAGATAAACCATTATTTGTTTTCGTAAGTCTATTGCAGTATCCAAGAGTTTCCACAGATTCCTAATATTGTACGTTAACTTTATTACTAAGCTTGTTCCAAAATCTCACTATTAAACCCATGTTCAAACTTTGTTCAAACAGTCAGTCATTCTGATGCACAGACTTGTACTTTTAAAAATTTACTGAAATAAGGTGCAATTCCATAGTTAACAATGTATTTTAATTTGTCTTTGCCAAGTTAAAATGTTTGGTACAAAAAAAAAGGATTAAAAAAGTGAGAACTAAATATTAAAAATAAAAGGTAGTTTTTAAGAAATTAAAAAAACTTAAAATTATTTAGGAAAAAGGTTTACAATGATTCAAAATACTAATTTAAAAAAGATGCACAATTTTTATTTTAGAATTTCAGCAAACATTAGATAAGAGACTAAATTTTATAAAATAATAAAACTTCAAAAATAAAAATTTTAAACAGTCAGTAAAATAATTTATATTTAAAATATATTACATTTAAACATTGCTAACACTTGACATTCTAAATTCACGAAATATTTACAATTTATAAGAATCCTAGTTATAAATGAAATTGAGAATTTGAAATGTTTTATTATTGCGACTCACTAAGAAAAAAAGCAACTGTTTTCCCTGACCAATAAGTAAATTCCCTGACTTTCCCTGATCCATTTGAAAAACACACTTTTGCCTCTGACTTTCCCTGACCCTATTAACCCTATATAAGTGCTTACATAAGTAAATATCTAAGTAATACATCATATAAATATTAAATATGATGAAAATGATAATAAGAATAGTAAAAAGAACAACAACTACAATAACATTAATAATAATGATAATAATAATAACAACAATAATAATAGTAGAAGTAAAATTGTTGATAGTTTTAATATTAATAAAAATAACAATAATAGTGATAATAACAATAACAACAATAATGATAATAACACTAATAATAACAATAATAACAATAATAATAATAGGTCAATAATCCTTACTTTAAAAATTAAATTTGTTGTCGCATTTATAACTATTAATTATGAAAGCGAAATTTTGATAAAAAAAGATTTGTTTGTTCGATTTCTCAATTTAAATTAAAACGCCCACTTTACAATGTTTTGATTTCGAAATAATCAGCTGTTTAAAAAGATACTGCCAACGGATAATGATACTGCCAATGGTGTACGGAAAAATAATTGGCAACGGCACTAGGTAAAATGTGAACTGCGAATA